ATTTATTCGCGACGCTAACGAGTTCTGATGCCATCAGGCTTATGACGCAATCCGAGTATACATATGTAACAATATTTACTGTACTTGTCTCTCTTTTAAAACAGTTCTTCCGATTCCAAGATAATACAATTAAAAATCGTTTTTAAATTTTATTTTTTTCATCGTATTCCTCTCTGAATATTTTAAATATATATTAAATTTTTCTTTCAAACCAATTCCAACCCAAATATACAAACAAATTTACTCAAAGCAGTGAACCAGACGAATGATTCAGACAATTTCTTAAAAAATTACCAGGGAATGTGACAAAGACCAAAAAAAGAACCGTTCAAAATTTAAGGAATGCCGTGGAAATGCTCTAGAATATTAAAGTATGTACCAACAATCTGTGACGCAAAGTGAGCAAGCAATTACTCAACACGCCCTCAACTTTATGTTCAATAGAAAATATTTTTAACATCGCAATATTTTTTTCAGATATTCAGATTCAACATACTAATATCAGAATATTAAAGATAAATATAAATATCATTAAAAGAATTAGATTATAGATACAAATGTGATAAAAAGTTAGACTAAATTTGATATGCTTATTTTGTAACTTTCTAACTTTCGACAATATTACTGTTATACGTGTTGTTGCATAACATATACGCATGGAAAGACACATAACAACAGTGACATTTGATAAAAGTTACAGAATATGCATGTGACGCAATTAAAATTTATTTTTGGCGATATTCACGAAAAGCATATGTTATAAATGTATCTATCGTCGCCGAAATGGCAGAACATAAAACATCTGTATAGGTTATAAATGTGTTAATCACAGATTTACACGTTAATTGTGCAATCGTCAGAATCAACAAATATATCGAAAATCGAATCAGAATATATTGATTGTCCGTTGGATTCCACATTCTTAGGTTTGCCGCTTCGCAATGCCCCAAAATGCTCCTACTCGCTCCAATACGTTTCAATCTATAGTATACATAACATAATACTATAGATTGGAGCGTATTGAAGCGAGTAGGAGCATGTTGAGGCATGCAACGCGACAAGCCTCTTGAGTTCTTGTTTACGCGAATTTTCTCAGAAAAAACAAAGGACGCGACGACTCGGTTACGCACTAACTTGCAACCTAAACGATGTGGCATTTTCAAATATTTATCTGACTTACCTAATTTCAACCTTTACGCGATATGAAAAAAATTGTACATATGTATTATAATTTTTTGACCAATTTCTATGACAATTATAAAATTTTAATTTTAATAAAATTCTACAATTTTATTAATATTATTTTTTGAAAATCCACACGCATTAATTGATCATATAGATATGTCCAGTACATTTCTCAATTCCTTTTTTAATAAAATTTTATAGTTATTACAAAATTCTCTAATTTTATTAATATTCATATTTCTCAATTGTTTCATATAATTAATTCTCATCTTATTAATTTTGATGGAAATTGAACAGTTGAAATTAATTAGCTAATGAATCAGTAATAATAATGTCATATACACTATGAGGATTTTAGAAGGAAACAATAATTGTTCTATTTTATCGCGATCAGATTTAAATATTTTTATATCTTGTACATCAATACAGCATAAAGTAAACATGCTCATTTGCTTCTACGTAAGCACGAGGATGAATTAATATCACTCATACATGATAGATAGTTAAATCACGGAATTAATATGGAAATTAGCATGCATGTTAATTTGCGAACAAACTTCATGAGAACCGCAGTGCCCGCGCGTTTGAAGCATTATAATCTAATCGGTTGGAATATTCGAAAGAGTTGCGTAATCCCCAATCGCGTTTCTCGCGCGTATTTATCGAAACCACAGTGACGTCGACATATAGCTGCACTATTATGCTTACTTACGCCTAAATAGATTCCTAGCATTTAGAAATTGAAATGCTTAATATACTTCGTACTATACCTATACAATACGCCGAATGATGAAAAAGAATCTCGAAAAAAGCCCGTAGATTCAATTTTCTAGGAAATAACTACAGCATGGCGTTTGTATTTTTCATTTTACATCTTAATCACATGATATTTGCTTTCTATTTCACTGTAACGTTCGATAAACAAATAATCGATAAACAAAAATGCGTTTGAAAAAGTCCATTTAAACGGATCGATTTTTACTATACCATTAATACAAAAAGAATACAAAAAGAAAATCATATATAAATCGCATTATTTTGTATTAATAATAATCGCCTAATTAAATATTTAATAAAATAGCACTTCTACCATTTTATGTTCCAAGACATATTTTGTATTAATATTTTCACTAATTAATATTATGATGCGTTAATGTAATATGGGAAAGATTAATGCATTTTCAAGTTTCATCTGCCTTCTCGCTTCACTAATAATACGTAACGTGGCCAAAATTGTGACCGTATTAGCCTCGAGGGCACACATCGGTACAGCACACATCAGTAACTTTACGGAAAAGGGGCAAACAAAGCGACGGACGGCGAAGCAGGTGGAGCGAAGGTACATAATTAAATTGTTAGCTAATGGAGAACACCGCATGTAAATAAGTGCGCGCGACACTACGCGCAAGCTATCGTGCCTTCTTGAATAGGAAAAGCCGTTCAAGTTCTATTACACGTGTGCGTAAAAGAGGTGGTGCGGAAATATTTCGGGAAAATAATTCAATCGACTTACTACGTTTATCGACAATCAAAAGTACGAGCAATAAATAATAAACCATGTTATAAAAATCAAGTTAAAAGTTCAATAGATCATTATTATCATGAAACAGTGTAAATAAATCATTATTTTTGAGGATAAGATAAAAATAGCTAAGCAACCAATTGTACCATTTTCAAAAAGATTTAATTTTGCATGGCATTTGAAACGCATACGTTTATATATAAATTTAGATATTATATGTACACATTTATCCGTTATTGTATGTACGCTATCGATCTTTTGCGCACATATGTATTAATATAATATATACGCACGATTCGAAATATTAACTTGTAATCTGAACTCGTAGAGATATATAAATTCGATTATTTAATCAAACGAGACGTTTTGAAAAGCACAAACACAGTAAACTTTATTACCCTTTCCTCTAATATTTTTACATCATATCACAGTCACTAGGATTATATATATATTTTCCGCCCATAGATGTTTAAAATATTGTTTAAAGACAAAATATAACTCGCGCGTCAGTAAATTGTAATTCAAGAAGACTATTAATAATCGCACCGTGCAACAGTATCAAATAAAAAGAGTTTCAGAATAATTTTAATCATGAATCTTATCAGATTTTCACTCGCAACGCAAAGCATATCTCAAAGCAGAAGTCTTCAAAAGCTCTGCCGAGTATATTAAGATTTGTTATATTGAGAGCACGTCCGTATATAATTTTCAATTTATCTCGTATAACTTATCTCGACTTGCTCGTGCATTCACGCGTAAAAAGTAAAAAGAAAAATAAAGCGAAAAATAAGGGAAATAATGAAGTAAGTTTTTATAAGTATTTTCATTGAAAGATATTATAATAAAGAATATTGCCCAGCAAAATTTATATATATATATATATATATTTTTTTTTTCATAAAAAAAATTGTAAGCATAAAATCATTCATACTTGCTCTCTCTTATCTACATAATAAATATATCTTAATGTTCATAAAATTAGGCGTATTTTATATGTCATTTTAAAGATGAATATTATATAAATTTGATGCATAACAATTAAAATAACCAATTTGTTTTTTTAAACTCTAATGTTCTTAAAATCTTCAAACAAAATAAAATAATTTTACGGCTATTATGGTAAAATAATATTCTTTATGATTCAACAATTATTTATACTAAAATTTGACAAAATTAAAAAACTAAAATCATTAAACGTTAACAAACAAATAGAAATGCTTTTCAAAGCATTCATCTTTAAAGAAATAAAATCATGTATAACGTTTATATTTTTATCCAAGCTTACAGTTTAATATGTCGAACGAATGCACGGATATGAAACGTTAAAAAAAACGGTTATGACTGAAATAGAAAAAAAGAAAGCAAGGAAAAAGATTACCGTTTCTAGGAAGAATTTCCATTTACTTTTAACGTACGCCTACCTTTTTGAGCATCACCAATCCGCTCAGCAAAACAATCCGAAAAACAATCAAACAGTTGAAATTGAATGTTCGATTGATAGTCCTCTCAGTTCAGCTCTATTCTCAGCACTTTCACATCTGCTTCAAAGTTATCAATACATATAGACACAACCCGTCGAGTTTAACTCGGAACCATAAGTCTATTCGAGATAACTGAAAATAGGAAACAGAAAAAATAATACCTCAAAGTACAATTACACGCAACAATACAAAACAAAATATTGATATCCAATAACACACATGTAATCTATTTCTACACAACAATTATAAAAATGACATTCATTTTAGCAGCTCAATATTAAAATAGCAGTTCCTACAGACATGAAAACAATAATATAACAATACAATAATATAATCACACAACATAATCTCTCTCTTGCAACAAATAATATATGGAATCATAATCATGTTTGAGAGAAAATTTAATAGCAAAAAAATGTACTGTATATTTTATATAATAATTATATACTTTTAGCTCACCAGCATATTTGCATATATAATAAATAGTTGAAACAATATATAAAATAGTATGAAAGAAAACAGGAAAACTATAGTTTTATTAAATAAATTATATAATATAGCGTAGATTATATATTATTTTTATATAATTTTTATATATTATTGTTTTATTTTGTATATATACACATACTTATATAAGTTTGTTTTTGAGGAGATTGTAAAAAGAATAACACTTCAAATACAGCACTTCAAAGCTGCAAAATCATTATAATGTGCAAGTCAACTTTGCAACTCTTTGCATCTTCCGATGTTATTTTCTTTTCTTGTTACGTAACTGATTTGACATTAACAAGTTCAAAAGACAGTGAATTTACCTGCGGCATCGGATACGTTGCGCTACCGACAAGAAGATCCCATGCCCACGCAAAGATCCGTGCGCAAATGTGCATTGACGTCACCGCCACTTTATAAAGCCTGTTGCCGGTACCAGCAGCGCCCGTAACACTCCCGAATGTGGCCGTTCCCGCGAACACGGCGAATTCGCGGAAACACGCGACGATTCGATTGATTCCTATCACTACGAAACTAACACGCGCGATCACATCTTCGCAAACTATTGCACTTCACTCCCGATTCACACGCACGATCTAACCGACGCGAAATCACTTGTCTCGATTACAATAACTCAAGTCATGTCCGTTACGGTAGGTCAGTGTGACAAACATTGAAGCTTGCACGCGTCGCACTCTGACAATCGACTCGTTATTTATTGCGCCAACTTCAGAATCCGAACACTCCGAAAACCAGAAAGATGCAATGATTTTTACGATTACGATCAATTTCGCGAATTATTTCTACCAGCTCAACACTTCTTTATCATGAAAATATAGAAAATCTTTCTCCTTCGCCAAAATAAATCGCCAAAAAAAAACTTGAATTAATTTAAAACATGGCGTTTGTACAAGCGGCGGCGGATTGCTTCGACGCGATGCAAAAGTATGACTCCCGTTAAAATTTCGAAAACAAAAGAAAAAGAAAACCGATTCTAGCAATGCAGCCGCGCACAGCGATAGTCATATATTTGTCATACATACCCCGACGCAGCTGTGCAAGGAAATCATGCGAACGACAGCGATGATAGCAACAGCTTCTCCGAACACGACGGCGTCTTGTCTGAACTACGGCGCGTACAAACTACTTGTTGATCAGCGCCCCCGGCCCCCGACGGCAATTGCTGCACGCGCGTTCCACTTCATCGTTAACTTGGTGGCAATATCGCGGCACATAGATCACTGAAAATGAACAACAAGAATTAGCCATTATGGCTTCCCAGAATTTATGTTACAAGGCACAAAGGTGATCTGTCTCCTTGTGACAAAGACACGCCATAATTAATGACTATGATATAAAAGATTGAACGCATGAAAATTGTATGATAAAATTAGCGAACAAACAATGCGTGCAACAATCAAATGCTGAAAAACAGCTATGAGCATTATTGGAGTAATAAAAATTATATAGCAAAAATTACAAAGTACAAAATAACAAAGTACGAAAATCGTACGAATGTTAGGAATGCTTCGAGTCGAATTTTTGAAGCAAAGTAATAATAATTACAGATAAAAGAACACGGATTAAGTACATCGATATATTTTCATTTCCCGCGTAAAAAGAATTTCGCTACCATTGAAAAACTATATGAACGAGTCATACAAAAAATCGACATTGTGAAATCCGGCATTGACGAAGCAAAATAATTTTTTAGAAATTACCACCGATTAGTACTCGTCGCCACGAGGATTCACGATGTGAAATTTATGAGAAATGCGATTTTCATAATAAAATCTTACCCTATTCGATGTTAATTCGCACGGATTCTAACGCGACACGCTCCGACGAAAGACCGAACGATACTGAAGTGAGGAATAGCACGCGTGCCACCTAGACGCGCCGGAGACGCGTCATGATGACTGCGTAAATCATGTCACTCTAGCGTTGCATAAACATTAACATATCATTACACAATATGCAATTTGTTAAAATTAGACAGACAAAAATATTCTATTTCATTATACATAAATATAGGCATTATATGTCTATGTTCATTGCAAAGAAATGATTGTGTTGCTATTAGCAAGGAAACGTACTTATTATAATCGTCAGAAGTATATATATTAGACAAAATACTTCTTTATATTTGCCTATCTTGTTATGGTTTTATTAACAAAAGTATATTTTATATTTTAAACACCAGAATTAAAGAGCATTTTATGCTGCTGCAATACAAGCTCGAAATTGGCTCGCCAATGACTCGTTCTTCTGAGCTTTCAATACACAACTATATTTATTGTTTACAATAAAAAAAATCATTTTCATTGCGGATTTAATAAAATAGTTAAAAAAACAATAGAAATTAATAAACGTACATTACCTGCATCTTACCGGCTATATATTTGATCATTCTGTAAATCATGGCACACAAACTTTTAGATGATGCACTCTGTATTATTTAAAGTACTACATCCGATAGCCAATGGACGCATTCAACAGAACAAACCGCTTAATAGTAATCAAACGTGATTGGCTCTTACTTTTAAAACCGACAAATCAACGTCGAGATTCAGCGAAAAATCTAATAACGTTGCCCAACTGTTGAGCTGCTGAATGCGACCAATGAAAAGATTCATTTTTTCAAGTCAAGAATGCATTTAATAAAAAGTCCCTAGAAGTAGACACTGAAATTTATATAACGAATGCCAGTCTAGATATTTGTGTATCATGGCTCAGTGACGCCTCCTATATTTGGAATATTGAGGAATGTGTATGAAATTGTTGCCGACTCTGTTTTTATCACGGCGAATTATTACGAATTTTAATTGGCGTGGTAAGCACTGTAATGAATTGTTGATTGATTAATAATATAAACGACATAGAAAAGACAGACATATGTGCAGTGACTGAACTTAAAGTACGTACAAATATAATTGTACAGCACGTACAAAGAGAGGTTAGATTTGAAGTTTACTTCACGCTGCCAACGAACGAGGCAAACAGGCTTATATTATTGTATCGTGATATAATCAACGCTAAGATCAAGCATTGAAGAGTACGATGAGTTCTCAGCAAAGTCCAGCTGCTCTACAAACCAGCGTTGACCGTGAGAAAGTCTATACATGGATTATTGAGCTATCAAATCCGGAAACAAGGGAGAACGCTCTGTTGGAGCTGAGCAAGAAGCGCGAAGTGGTACCCGACTTGGCACCGATGCTATGGCATTCATTTGGTACTACAGCTTCTTTACTGCAGGAAATCATTAACATCTATCCAGCAATCAACCCAGCAACCCTTACAGCTTATCAGAGCAATCGTGTATGCAATGCTCTAGCGCTATTGCAATGCGTAGCCAGCCATCCAGAAACAAGATCTGCATTCCTGCAGGTAAGATGGCGCTGTGACTTAAAGATCTCATGAGAAATATTAAACATGTGAAAATTAAGAATGTACATAGTGATATTTAGCTGGCTATCTGTTTTTATGACTAAGATCTATCTATGCTACATGTATGTGGTTTCAGGCTCATGTACCATTATTCCTATATCCATTTTTGCATACTGTAAGCAAGACAAGGCCGTTTGAATATCTCAGATTAACAAGTCTTGGAGTAATTGGTGCACTGGTCAAAACTGATGAACAGGAAGTGATCACTTTCTTGCTTACTACAGAGATTATTCCACTCTGTTTGCGAATCATGGAAAGTGGATCTGAATTAAGTAAAACTGTAGCAACTTTTATACTGCAGAAGATTCTATTGGATGACAGTGGTTTATCTTACATCTGTCAAACTTACGACAGATTTAGTCATGTTGCTATGATCTTAGGAAAAATGGTTTTGTCTCTAGCAAAAGATCCTTCTGCGAGATTACTTAAACACGTTGTAAGGTGTTACTTAAGACTCTCTGACAACCCAAGGTATGTATCGGAACAAAATGCGATCATACAACCTTATGCATTTTATAACATAATAAATTAATTTAAACATCTAATTACTTTTGCAGAGCGTTGTTAGCTTTAAGACAATGCTTACCGGATCAATTAAGAGATAATACATTTGCAAACTGTTTACAAGAGGACGCCTCAACTAAGCATTGGTTGACTTTACTTATCAAAAACCTAGAAACTGGTCCACAACAAGGTCCGCCAACTCAGCCAGGTCAACAAGATCCACGAACAATTGGTATGTCACCACTCACTTCTTGAATTGTCTATTCTGACGACAATGCACAAGAGAACCTGAGAGAATCTGAGACACTTCTTTCTGTAAGTTGTTTTGAATCTTTTATGAAACGGTGCATGGTAATCAACGGCCACGTAATTTACATATTATTATAACGTGCATTTCCGAATTGTGCTGTGAAAACTAGTAATAAGTGTATAATATTGGCAATACAAGTACAGGAAGTTCAGGAGCACCTATTTAGGAAGATTTTCCCAATTTCAAATCAATTCGGAGAAAATCTTTCTGAGAAAACGCTCCTGAACATTCTGTATATGACTAGTCGGTTGTATAGATCCCTGCGATGAATCTACCAATCATAACCGGTTTGATTCCAATAATTAGTTTTCTCTTGAGGTTTTCTGTGAGCTGAGGCAGTACATGTAGTATAGGAACTTTAATAAGGGATGTGTGACATGTATATATTATAATATATAAGGATATATGATAAGATTTATGGTGTGATTATTTTGTCTGAGAGATAAGTCAAATTTATTAAGATATATTAATTATCATAAATTCGCCGGATATTTTGGTAGATTTTATGACATAGATGCATTATCTGAAAATTTATACCATGAATCAGTATTCATTTATGTGTATGAAAATCATATTCCGAGGAACGTGTGTATAGACATTCAAATATCACAATTAATATTGGATTAAATTGTTCACTCCGTATATTACTGCCGGCTTAATTAAATTTAATTAAATTTAATTAAATAGATAATGTACAGTCCAGTGTACGAAATTGTCGAAAATTCTCTATCACTGCCTAGATTTACATAATAAATTTATGTAGATTTAAATTGTGGACTTGTAAAGAGATGTAAAAAGAGTTGTAAAGAGTGTAACGAATTAGTCCCATCTTATATCGTTGTGATTGATCGATGACAGTGCACTATGACGATTACACATGATTACGATATAATACAACAACGTCATTTATATCGTCAAGCGATTACGAGTCGTAGATTGTAATATAATTTTATAAGATGTCAGGACTAGTCGAATCAAATGTAATGTACACGAATGTAAATTTTACTCGGACGAAAGTGCGCAGCTGAACTAATTGAAAGAAAAAAAACGAGAGCTAAGATTTTGAAAAAGTTTGTGTCATCGTATCCTTCTTCATCTCATTCGTCATTTTCACGAGTTCAGCTTCATTCTGTAAAAAAAAAAAAAAAGGATTACATTAGCAAGATAAGATTTTTCCTGATCGAGGATTACGGAATATACGCACCGCTTTCTGAGGATCCCCCGGTCGTAAAAGACCGTGTATAACGGGAGTAAATAGTCTCTTGTCCGCGCGGCTGTACTTAGATGGGCCCGTGAACCACGACACTAACAAGCCGACCAGAATCGTAGTTAGGAAACCCACCCACGTATACCAGAGATACGACAATTTGTACAGGAAGAAAGGTTGCTCTCTGAAAAAATAAGGACAATTTAATTACAACGAACATAAAATTATTACGCAGTTTCTTGTATGCGAGAGGAATTTGAATGTACCTGACAGCAGTCTCGACGATCATTGTGAAATTCCCGACGGTGCTTCTCAATGACTCGGAGCAGTTCTCCACCGACACCGGTTTCACCGGGAAGTAGATCGATCCATTGGAGATCGCCGCCTGTGTGCCGAACGAGATCCAAGCGACCAAATTCAGACTAAGCAGCCCGCCGACAAGCGCTCCCTGTTCGGGTAAGAGGCTAGAGACAAGAAGTTCGCTCGGCGAACACAGGATTTCTCAGAACCAACTTAAATTTAATGACAGCTTCCGCGGATCGATTATATAATCTGGAGCTGCATTGAGATCACGACGTTCATGACATTTACTGACTATGCGTCATCGACAATGTTTCGTCACTAAATATTTATGTTTAATTAAAT